AGTACACAAACAAAGATACACATTCTTAGGCTTAGCAGCGAATTGAGGAAATACTATGGTGAAGTTTTTCCACGCCAAAGCATCAGATAGATGTTGCATTTCTCCATCAACGGTAGAATGCGAGGTATGCCATCTCATATGCGAAGCCGTTTGTTGTGATTCATACAAACGCTTCAATCTGTACGATACCGGCATATAGAACATCTTTTTATATGGAGTTTGTCTCCGTACATTCTTACTCGGACGGTATCTGTTAGTCCCACAAAATTTACACCTAACCAATTCTTTTTCTTCACCCCAGTACAGCATGCAACCATTTTTGCAAAGATCAATCTTTTCATAAGGCATTCCCAAATTCTTCAACATAGCCTTCGTATCATAATACGATTCTGGAGCTTCGTTATTTTCAGGTAAATATTCACGCAACGTTTGACAAAATGAATCTATGCAACTTTCGGTGACATTGTAATCCGTTTTCATACTCATCAATCTTGATGCAAGAGATAAACGTGACTGACCTTCTTTACATCCTTCATAGATAGGATGATTTGCCATATCCAACATGTCGAAAAACCGTTTTGTTTCGACGTTTGGCTCCTCCTGATCTTGTGATGAGTTTTGCTCAGCCAATGGCGCCCCAGGAAAAGCATCTGTCACCATTTCAACATAAGGATTTCTTACATCTTCATCTACATCATACCTCTGCTCGACCGAGACATGTTGTCCCGTTGTGATTGTCCGAACTTCTTCTCCATAAAATCGCCAAATATAATAATCTTCGACAAATCCCCTTCGAAATAGATGTTTACAAACATCTTCTGGACTGCGATATTTAAAATTGCGACAACTTGTACATGAACATAGCATTTTTCCACGTTCTTGACACAACGGCTGCATAGAAGCAAAATTTATAAACTGTTCCAAACCGTTAATGAATTCTTGCATTACCTCTTTTGTAATCGAATCAACTCTTTCGTATATCCACTGCCGGGACGAACGAATATTCGGATTTGTTGAAGATGTCATTTTTAGGAGAATTTTTGTTAAAAGAATAGTATAAGAGTGATTTAGAGAGTGGTTTGGGCGAACTATGGCCGAGTGCTTTAAATAGAGAAACGTTCCAACGGATATCCGTTGGAAATTCGTTGAAAAGTTCGTTACCGTTACACTTGCCAACGGATATCCGTTGGAATATTTCGAACGTTACAACGTTCAACTATTTCCAACGGATATCCGTCGGAATTATTGCTGCGTTTCATAACGTTCGGATAATTTCAACGGATCCGTTAGACATCCGTTGGAAAGCCGTTAGAAATGCGTTGGAATTATTCCAACGGTATGCCGTTGGAAATCCGTTGGAAAAATTCCAACGGATTAATCCGTTGGAAAAATCCGTTGGAATTTCGCATTTTTTTTGTAGTGTATGTTCGTAGTACAATCACAGTCGTAGTTAGTGAAATCACGGTCGTAATGAAATCACAGTCGCAGTTATTTGGTCGCAGGCTGCATGTGGCAGGTGCGATAGGCTGCAGGCCGCAGGTGCGATAGACCGCAGGTTGCTGGCCGCAGATAACCTACCGCGGGTCGCAGGTGACCTGCCGTAGGCCGCAGGTGACCTGCCGTAAGCCGTAGGTCACATACTGGAACCTACCGCTGTTTTTTATTTCAGGAATTTCATCAAACACCTTGTGTGTAGAAAAGAAAATGATCATATGAATACCACGGAAAAACAAAAGAATGTTTGATTAGATGAGATAAACTGTAAGAAATAGAAAAAACAGAAGGACAAATCTCAAAACGCACTGATTTCTAAAAGACAGATTATCACATAACTGCAGAGAGATATTGACAAGAAGATTTGGTCCAACCAGCAAAAGGATCGAGAGAATAGGTAAATGGACATGGTCGTGGTTACCGTTAATTATTTGGTCGCATTTGCATTATGTTCAACAGTCATAGTTATAGTTAATTATCTAGTCGTATTTGTATTATGTTCGTAGTATAATCATGATCGTAATTATCTGGTCGTAGTCGTAGTTATATGGTCGAGTGAAATCACGGTTGCAATTATCTGATCGTGGTCGTAGTTATCTAGTTGTAGTGAAATCACAGTCGTAATTAACTGATCGTAGTCGTAGTTATATGGTCGTAGTGAAATCACAGTCGTAATTATCTGATCGTAGTCCTAGTTATATGGTCGTAGTAAATCATGATCGCAATTATCAGTTCGTAGTCGTAGTTATCTAGTTGTAGTGAAATCGCAATCGTAATTATCTGGTCGTAGTGAAATCACAGTCATAATTATTTGGTCGTAGTTATAGTTATATGGTCGTATTGAAATCACGGTCGCAATTATCTAGTTGTAGTCGTAGTTATCTAGTTTTATTGAAATCACAGTCGTAATTATCTGGTCGTAGTCATAGTTATATGGTCGTAGTGAAATCACAGTCGTAATTATCTGGTCGTAGTGAAATCACAGTCGTAATTATCTGGTCGTAGTTGTAGTTATGTGGTCGTAGTGAAATCACGGTCGCAGTTATCTGATCATAGTCGTAATTATCTAGTCATAGTCAAATCACGGTCACAATTATCTAGTCGTATTCGTAGTTATATAGTCGTTTTGAAATCATGGTCGCAGGTCGCAGGTCGCAGGTGCGACAGGCCGCAGGTCGCAGGTGCGATAGGCCGCAGGTACCGCAGTTGATCTGCCAGGTACCGCAAGTGACCTACCACGGAGCGCATGTGCCGCTGGTACTGTAGATGACCTACCGCAGGTCCCAGGTGCCACAGGTGCTGCAATTAACCTGCCAGGTGCCGCAAGTGACCTGTCGTAGGCCAAGTGACATGTCGCAAATCGCAGGTCATTTGCGGCATATCACAGATCTTCCAGACCGTAGATCATTTAACGCAGAGCGCATGTAATTTTTCACAGATCGCAGGTCATCTGCCGCAGTTTTTTGGTACAAACATTTCATCAAACACCTTATGTGCATGCAAAAAAATGATCAGAATATTACAGAAAAAAATCAACAAGAAGAGTATTTGAATAGATTAGATAAACTATATAAGAAATATACGAGATAGATAAAATATTGGAGAAAAAAGAAGATCAAATAGCAAAACTTACCGATTTTTAAAAGATAGATTATCATACAATCGTATAGAAATACTGTAAATGGTAGTTTGGGTATTTAGGAAAAAAAAAAAGTATAGTATGCAAAAGTTGTTTTTTTGTGAGATATTTTGCAAATTTCATTTTTTTTGTACATTTTGCCAACTGCCCCTAAAATTAATACCTAAATCGGCACACTTTCTGGCTAGTCAAGTCTTCTTCGGCGCAATTATGAAGATTCCGAAAACTACTCAAGCTTCGGCAGTGGGCAAAAACCTTTCGAAATCACAGTGGAGAATTGGGAATCCATCAGATTTTGGAATGACCCATGAACTATGATGGCTCGAATTTTATCTGGATATTATTGTGACATGCCTTTGGTTTTTAGATGGTTTTTACATATCCTTGGGCATTTTAGAGCCCATTTAGCTCCTCGGGACAAGTTTACGGTTTTGACAGTGTTGGGTTATGGTTACGGATTCCTAGCATGCGATCATATCGATCTAGGGTTTGGTTTACTAGGTTTCATGCAGTGGAAGAATAATCTAAACCTAGTCAAACGTCACACGCAACCAAAATCATCCGTAAAACCCCGTTTAATCGTGTATATCACCGTAGGAATCGAATACTTACCTCTTTCCTGAAGATCTGAAAGTAGCAATCGATCCAGGACCTGTTTTAATCACCAAGAGCTGAAA